CAGAGTTTCTCCATCGTCTCTGGCATATCATTCACAACATATTCCTTACACTTTGATTTCACATTTTTGTTGATGTAAAATTGACAAAGCAAATTAATTATCTTTGGAAATACTATTTCAGTTGCTTTCATCAAAGCAAGATCTCTATTAGTCAAAATCACTCGTGACCAAAACCCCTTCTTAGTAAACAGTTGTTTCAACTTATCCAATACCCAACAAAAATTCCCGGTCTGCTCAAATTCCATATAGGCAAACGCAACACAAATGTTAACTCATTTGAAGTCATACCAACTACTTCAAATAGAGGTTTCCTATACTTATTTGTCTTGTATTTGTTGTTCATAATCAACACAATAGGAAACACATTCAACAACTTTACTGATTATGGACGGACCCAAAAAATCTCTCTCACAAATTATGAATAATATTTTTTTCTACTTCAGTAAGCATAATCTAAATTCTCCATCAGCTTAAAAAAATGTTGCATTTCCGTTCTAGGACCCTTGATGTCTTTGTGTAACTCACTCTTATGTTTATATATTTGCGTGATCCGAGTGACATTCTCCGGATCTCGCTCTTGCAATGACAATAATATGTGTCTTGGTGGAACATGGCGTTTTGTCAAATCAATAATAGGTTATTTTTCATCTGCATTTAGTCGACCTACAAACGAGTGACCTTTAAATCTATCAGGTAAACCATGGTTGTGAAACCCACATTTTACACCAATCTTCCATCCATAACCATCTTTTGATGGTGCTGACCTAATTTTGAATGGACAACCATATTTCTTACTAGCACTTTGTGTTTCACTATCTCCTTCTTTGTATTTTTCACCTATATCACAACCAAATATTAATTTGTCACTTCTTTCTCTCTTTCTTATTTTGGTATCTGAACGAGTTATTATAACCGTCAATTTATTCCTGATTCCAACCTCCACAATCCAGCTTGTCACCTCTTCTCGTGTAGCAAATTTTTAGTAGTTGAAAATACATCAGTGGTATCTACGCATGTCTGTTTTTATCGCATGCCATCAAAAGAATATCCATACATGTTAAATATAAATTAAAAAATTAATCAATAAAACATAAAAATAAAAAAATCAGGCGAATATGAATTCTCTTAGTAAAGAAATCTGGTTGGTACAAAATTCATCACCGAAAAACTTGAATGAAATTTATCTGGTATTATATAAAGGGAACTATATAACATAGAGGAAAGTTATTCAGATTACTTTATTGAACCAAATTACTCCATATCATGTTTTCTGGTTTGTGCATAAATTGAACCAAACTTAATTTAACAATCTCATCCGGTTAAGTAAAATAATATATCAGATATCTTCGTAGCAAGTTATTCGGTTCGCATGACTGAGTGCATACTTGTCAATTTCAGATGAACAATAAAAATTATAATATGGAGTAAAATTAAAAAAAAATATATTTACAAAATTATTGGAGTAGAGGGATACATGTAGGGATATAGGGCAAAATTTTCTTAAAATAATAGTTTTGTCTTCCTTTGGAGGATTTAACTTGACACCCTCCATTTTTCTTAATTCTCAAATTGTCCATGAATAAATTTGAGGGGTGACAAATAACGAAAATTTTGGTAGATTTTTGAAACTTTCGTCAACATAATAAATTTCTAGTATGAATTTAAAATATTATTTTTTTTGTACTACCAAAAATTTCAATAATTTATAAAAAATTTCGATATTTTTTTAAAATTTCCGATAAAATACAAAAATAAATTTTAATTTTTTTTTGTAGAGACATAAGAGTCATAGCACCACTATTAAAGGGGTGTCAGGGTTAATTATAGAAATAGCAGATTAAATGCTCCTTCCTTTAAGACTTTAGACTCTTGCTAGGCCCAACATTTGCTTTTGACCCACTTGCTATTCACACATGTAGACACTTTCTTATTAAAAAAATTTATTTATCTTGTAACTAATATTACATTTATAATAGAGTTTAATGGTTATACATTAATACAGTATAAAATAATTTTATATTATCGTACAATAAAAATATAAAAATTTATCAACAATTATGTCATACTATTAACTTAAAAATTAATTTAATATAATAGAATACATAATAATAATAATAATAATAATAATAATAATAATAATAATAATAATAATAATAATAATAATAATAATAATAATAATAATAATAATTAATTAATAATATCAAATTAATTTACACTTGCTTTATAATATATTAAGAAGAAGTCTGAATATGATCAACATGTCTAACGACGTTTTTCCAACATCATAGAGCATCTTCAATGGTGCTACTCATATTTGGGTTTTTTGTGGGACTCATTAAACCAAATCATCTTGAAGCAACTCACTCCATTTTTCACTCAAATGGTGCAATTTTAAAAAACTTATATTGGATCCTACAATTTTATTTTGTATATTAATATTTTAATTATACTAAATTTTATTTGATTTAAAATTATTATTGGGTCCCACAATTAATTATTTTAATAATAAAAAAATATGAAGAGTCGTTGCTTATATTTGTACCGTTTATCGGCTAGAACAATTTTTTTATTAACAATTTTAATGTCAAACTGGCAAACCAATCTAAAAAATCACCGTTGGAGATGGTCTTGCAACTTCTATTTTTTTTCCTTCTATTTTTAGTTACATGTCACTTTTAAGGATTGTCAAATAATGTTTCTTCCAACTTGTTAAATAATGCCACTTTTAATTACACGTCATTTTTGAATATTTTTACTATCAATACAATTAATAATTTTTGTTATTTTTTATATAATTATTGTTATTTTCTCATATAACCCCAATCATTTATTATTAATTTCTCTCTCAACTTTAAACAATTAAAAGCAATATTGATAAAATAATTATTAATATTACATTGAAATTTGAATTTGACAACAATTTTTTTTTACAAATGTGACGAATAAAAAGAAATAAAGGAGATACTATGAATCTGACTTGAACATTGAGATTATTAATGTTAAATATCAATACATTTGTATTAATAAGAGGAAATAATAATCTAGAGAAAATGCACAAATTTAAATTTTTTTGTTTGTACATTTTCAAATTTCAATGTAATATTAATGATTATTTTACAAATTTGAAAGACACTTCTAAAAAATTGATGATTTAGAAATATCCCTAGATCTATTTGATCTCTTACAAGTTATCAATAATTAAAAAATGGAATATTGATACTAACCTTTGAAGATTTAATATTTACTATTACAATATTCAACCTCATATATGACTTAACATGATTCTTGTTTTAAAATATCTCTTGATATGTCTGAAATGTATATGACGAAGAGAATTTTTTTTTTTTAAATCGTTTGAAATTAAAAGTCGAAAAATAGGAAGAGATTTGATATAGTTAAGAGACCGATGACAACAATCCGATACAGATGTAACTGTAGACAACACTGCACGTCAAGTTTGGCGAATAGTTCGGATATATCGAACATCAGGTTTGGTTAAATTGGTCAGGGTGTACATGACTTGGTTGTTTCGATTCACGTTTCTATTTAATGATTTAGGTTTGGGTCTCTTTAAAGATTTGTTAGACTTCAAAGGATCACTATTATTCTTGTCTTTACAATCATCAAAATGTAGTTTGAGAGAGAGATGAAGGATGTGACAATCTTAAGGAAAACTTAGAGAGACAAAAATATAAATTATTGAAGGAAAATGAGAAATATTTATAAACATCTTAGACTTGTGTAATTCATATATAGAAAGTTTGAGAGATTGAGAAATAGGTAAAAAATTAAATTTGTTCTTAAAAATTTGAGTTAGTATTTTTTTGAAATTTTTTTATAATTTCTTGTAACAATTCTTATAAGTATAATGAATTAGAGAATTTTTCTCTTTTTTTAAAGTGGATCAATTTAATCGAACTGAATAACTAATTTTTTTTATGTTTTTCTGTTTGATGTCATTTATTTTTTTTAAAGTGGATCAATTTAATCGAACTGAATAACTAATTTTTTTTATGTTTTTCTGTTTGATGTCATTTATTTATTTTTTTCATTATTATTTATCACACATATTTACTTTTAATAAATTTAATATTAAGATTATATTTAAGAGAATTTAATATATTTAAACCTATAAACAAATTCACTTAGGGAGTGTTTCTTTCAAGTATAAGAAATACATTTTTAGGAATAATGTTTAAAAAATGATTATCCTCATGTTTTTTAAAAGTTTGAAGAAAATTTATTCTTAGATATAAAAGTTATAAGGAATAAAATAACTTTTAATAATTTTAATAATTTTAATGATTTTACTTTTATATAAAAGAAGGTAAGAATGTTTATTCTCATGAAATTTCACATGATTATTTATTAAAAAATATAACTACTAATTTATCTAAGAATATCAAATAATATACTAAACATATTTTTTTTTAAAATATCCAAAAATCTAACTTTTCTATTTTTATTTCCGGATAATTTATTCCTGAAAATCACTTTTAAATCTTTCAACCAAACACTCCCTTAGAGTTTGAAGGACATGTATATAGGTGATGGTTGTGTCAAAGCCTTGTGGGAAATGATACAATCAGATATAGTGATATTCCATCATTTTGGTAGAATTTTAATAATTATATTAAAAATTTATTAAAACATTACCACCACTGATGATGAATTACATTCAAAAGTACAGGTTATCCTCAGGTGGCTTTATAATTCTCAATGGAGCTTTCTTAGATAGAATTCTCAACTATCTTTTCTTATATATAATCCTCATCACATAATGCTTGAAAGTTGAATGTGAAATTTTCTGTTTGTTTGCATTGTCATAATACCCACTTATTCTGTTTTAAAAATTAAACCCTTCTGGTATACATAGCTGAACCCAAAAACAATTTCTAGATTAAAGTAAACAAAATTTCAGTGCTGCATCCATACTAGGAGGCTATTTATGAACAACTGCAAAATGAAACATCTCATCCATTTGGTGAGGAATATAGGCCTTACTTACACTTGTCCAAGTATGCACTCCACCCTTGAAGACGGTATTCGCGAGCTGCTGCAGCTGGATTCGCTGCCTTGATGATGCCACGCCCGACGATAATAATGTCACTACCTCTATCATGGATCACCTGAACGAGAAAAACATTTGGTGAGTTTTGAAGAAAAGTAGTACAAGAATGTGCAAAACAGCACAAAGTAACAGAAATACGATGAAATATAGATGGCAACTTGCGTAAACTTACAGAATATGGAGTATTATATTGCTGCCCTAGATCATCACCACCAATCGCCATTTGAACTCCAGGAGTTGCGTGAATGAAACAAGGATTTATCGGTGCACCAGACCACAATGCTGGATTGACTGAGATGAAGCCAATAACAAAGTTGGAATGATCCTCGGCAATTTTCACTGCAGCAGATGTGTAATCTCCCTTGGCAAGGTTACCAGCTGAACTCATTTCAGCAAGTAGCAACAAACCCTTTCCGCGAGGCAAACCCTACACATTGTTCATTTAACATGTTAGACAAGAATTTTTTTTGTATAATTACATTCGAGATGATGTTATGATCAGGATTGTTCGATAGACCTTTAGTTTCAGTCCATCGACAATTCCGGGACCAGAGATAATGTGAGCATTTACTATATCAGCCCATTCCAATATATGAAAGATCCCTCTGTAGATAGAGTAAAAGGAAAGATATTATGCTTAATGTAGAAGCAAATGAAATGCAACTGAAAAAGAATACAAAACTTTCCAGCAATGTATTACCCTTCGTACTGCATGGTCACAGTGTTACCAATGTCGGCAAACTTACGATCCTCAAATATTAAGAAGTTGTGTTTTTCTGCAATCTTCAACAGAGATATTATATGTTATAACAAACTACTCCAGAAATGTATAAAATTCCTCAAAGATTGGTAAAATCTTGCTCATATAAAGACGTAAAACTATTATAGTTGGTTAAAATTGTTATATGAGCATTCTACTTTATTAAATGCTAGCATATCTATTTCACTGTACAGATGTTAACAATATGAACATGCAAAATCTTGTTCTGCAATAATCTGGGGGGAAATAGTTTAATTTAGCTTTATACCGCACGAAGCTTTGAGCCAAAATCCAGAGTAAAATCTGGTAAAATATCTACATGCGTTTTCAGCAAGCATATCTCACGCCCAACCTGACAAGAAAGAAAAGGGAAATTAAGAACACTGTAACTTTTCCACTGAAAATAAGAGATTAAACAAAATGCCATAGCCGGAATGAGAATTTTCTCACCTTGTCGGCAATTTCAAGCAATTCAGCTGTAGTTCCAACATCCGCAGCCAAACACAGATTACTTTCCTTCTCGGCCATTATCTCAAACAACCTCTTTCCCATTGGATTCTTGGACAACTTAGCTCTCTCCAAATACGACAGTGCCTTCTTGAACTTAGTTTTATTTTCCAAAGTGGCAACCTTCTGATTTTCCTCTAAGAATCTTATAACAACTCTAACCATCTCCTCGTCGAGCCTTCCTTTTTCCCTCAAAATTTTCACCATTTCAGTCAATTTAAGAATCGCATGCAACTTGATTCCATTGCTCTCCAAATTTTGTCTTCCACCTTGCTCTCTATCAATCAAAACAACAGCATCACTGACCTTCAACCCCGTGGAACGCAACGGCGCAGCAGTTTCCAAAACCGATGTGCCACTAGTAACTAAATCCTCAATTACCAAGCAACTTTGGCCATGCTGAAAATCACCTTCAATGGCTTTAGAAGTGCCGTAGTCTTTGATTTCCTTGCGGCGCATAACCATGGGGATGTCGTGAGTGACAGACACACAAGTTGCTATAGGTAGAGCGGTATAAGGGACACCGCAGACAAGGTCGAATTTAGTGTCCGAGACAGAAGAAATCATAGTTTGAGAAATTTGTCGGAGGACAGAAGGATAAGATATAACAAGGCGGAGGTCTATGTAAATTGGCGAGGAGATTCCGGATTTGAGCTTGAAGTTTCCAAATTTGACTGCTGAGATTTCATGGAGTTTAAGAACTAAAGACTCCATTGATGTACGTGCCTATTTCAATCAGTGTCTTCAGTAAGTAACATCATCAATAAAAAATAAGGCATACAATACAAGTAGTGATGTAAAATAGCAAGCATAGGCGAATTTTAATAAACTGCTATCGTTCTGCAATACACGATAAAGTACAAAATGTTATCAAAGAGTAGCTACAGCACTCCCTACAACTATACAAGTACACGAGCCGACACATATACAGAAGCTTTTAGAAAACGATCTATTACTGCAAAAACAGCCGCAACAAAACAGCATCAAAAAGTTGCTGATACCGTTATTCACCATTTTAATGCAGATAAAACAAATCACAAATGAAAAGCCTTACAACCGAAATTGTGAAACCCTTTATGCGAACGGGGGCGTTACACTATTAATTGTAATTACTAGTATAGATATAATCATACTCCTACAATCTTTAACCTTACTAACCTTACTAACTGAAATTGAAGAGTGTGTGTGCGCGATTAGAGATAATGTAAATGTAAGTATCACAATTTCAGTTTGCACCTTATATGGTTTGGCGAGTGCTGTTGCTACAACGAGACGATGCTATTTCAGGCTTCACAATACAAAGGTACATTCCTCACTTTAACGCAATATTCGTTGATAGAATAGATTTCAAAAGGGTAAATAATTCATTAACTATAAATAAAATGAGTACTCTACCAAATATTGTTAGGTTTTGATGCTATTGCTGAGTTCTTAGTGGCTTTGTCTAAAAACATATATATATATATATATATATATATATATATATATATATATATATATATATATATATATATAGTTTGATTAACATATATTCTGACATTTAAAAGTAATTTTAAGTAAGGTCAATTTAAATTTTTGAAACTCCATTTACGTTAGTTATAGTTTGAAAGTGGTATAATAAATAGAGGCTTTATTTTATCAAGGTTTAATTGTTATAAATATTTTTGAGGCAATCTATTATCTATCTATAAAAATCATATTTCCTGGAAATTACCACAACACCACAGCTGAAAAAATTCATTGTTGGTCTATTGTATTGGGGTAAAATGGGAAACTCCAAAATATCTTGCACCACATTGATTTGAATCTGATGTGGCACTCCCACAATTTTTCACCACATTTTCAATTTTTTTCTTCAAATAAATCCCACATATTATACTGTTTTTTAAAATAAAGAACCAATTCAATTTATTGTGCAGGCAGCGTGAGAAACCCAACCATGGGGAATACCAATTCATTATTCCTTGCCATTCATTGTGTCTCTCTTCCTCTTCCCCATGCCAAACCATTATGCCTCTCTTAATCAGAATTCAAATTCAAATGGAACACCAAAAGTTTTTCACTCTTCCTTCAATCCTTCCCCAACAGAGATTGGGACGTTGGCGTCGATGTTGTGGAGATATCAAAAAGCAATAGCAGGTATCAAAAAACATCAAAATTTCGAATTTTTAATGGTCTCTTTTTAATATATCCATCTATATGCTTTTGTTCTATATGATTAATCTGGTGAAATTGAGAAATAAATATACTGTGTGTGCAGGCTTCAACTCTACATTGCGGCTTGGAAATGTACACTGCAGATACTTTCTGGTTTCAGCTTCATGTAACCTTTCCATTTACTAATTGCTCTTACCTTCTTTAGGTTGGAAAATGAAGGGATGTTGGTTTAAACCATATTGCCCTATTTGAAGGGAAAGTAGCGGGTGGTATTGGAGAGCAAGTGGTTAGCAGGGATATTACAGGCTATAACATTATTGTATTAATTATTAACTGCAATTTTTTTTTGTTGTTGTTTTTGTTTTGGTTACAGGGTGTAGAGTGTGATTATAGGCACAATGAGATTGTGAGGCTTAACCCGAGGGATTGCTGGTACTGGTTATCGGTGAATTGTCTTAATCCGACTTGTGCTTTTCGACATCCTGTGAGTTCTTCATTACTGAAACTTTGAATATGTGGATTGGAATGAGTGAAACTTTGATGTAAATGTTGACTTAATTTGTGTATTTCAGGTTAATGTTTACCGATGACTTGAGTTCGTCTACGGCGCGATAATGTGGCTAAATTAGTGCATCTGTCAAATACTGTTAATGTTTCTTCGCTTCAACTCACGGAGTTTCTGCTCTTGAACAAATTCTGGTCATTGGTTTTGTTTCAAAATGGTACTCAACTGCTAAAGCTTTCCTTTAAATTTTATCTTTTGTAATGATAACTTAAGAGTTGATTTCACATTTCATGCAGCTTATCCCAGTATCTGGCTTCTGTGAAGATGGTAGGTTATTTGAAGGTAAATTTATTTTTTGTAATGATAACTTAAGGGTTGATTTCACATTTCATGCAGCTTTATCCCAGTTAGAGAAAAATTTGACAGCAACTACAGCTTCACATAACTATGAGCAGATGATGTCAGCTGCTGATGCCTCAGGTGTTTTGTGTTGGTGTGATACAGGACACTCCAAAATCCATTTCTTAGATTTTAAAATATATTTGCAACATTCTACTGAACCAAAATGGTGTGGACTAATGGCATTTCAACAATCTGTCAATTGCTGTTATGGGATAGTGTTCTAAACAGCTGAGACTTTTGTTGCAGCAGGTAAGTAACATGAAATGGAAGCTGATTGTAAAATGTTTGGTTTACAGGTGAATTTGCGTGAAATATAATATAATCTCTATGTCGAAATCTGTTTTTTATCCATTTGTTATGACATCTCTCTGCAGGCAGCAATTGCAATTGCACAGAGACTTCGTACCGCAAGCGTTTTCTTGCAAGTATCCTAACCAAGTAAGTCTATATTCATATATCATTCTATTCAAATTAATGTTTATAGTTCTAGCTTCTGATGAAATACTAATATATTTTAACGTGCTGTGTTCAGGTTTCATTTGATTTGGTAGAAAAGTACCCAGAGGATTGATTTGGTAGAAAAGTACCCAGAGGATTATAATGGTTTTAGAGAGAATGCATTATTTCAAGACTATCATCGACTTATATCTATCAGAACTGTAATGGAAGCCTTCATGGAATAAGTAAGAGGTGGTAGCCCCAAATTCGAGCCACAAATAATAGTCATTACTCCTGGAGCAGCTGCTGCTAATGAACTCTTAACCTTCATGAAGCCAAGAAGAGAAGAAAAAGAGCTATTTAACTCAAATTATCAACACTGCTTCTAACAACTTCTTAACCTGCTCAAACATCAACAACCTGCTCAAGCATCAACAAGGAATGTTTCATTTCAAAATTTTAAAGATCGATCTTTGATTCATTGATGATCTTATTTAAATGGGATTGTGATTTTTTATGGTTTTTGATTGAGATTCGATTTTGTTTTCAAATTGGTTATAGAATTATGGAGATTTGATTAGAATTTGATTTGATTCATCATCTTGGAGTTCAAGTTTATACATATAGAAAGATTAGATGTAATAAGGAATATTTTATATAATAGGCTGCTATGCTAATTTAAGGGTGCATTTGGAAAAGCTTTTGATGTATTTTTCTTATGGTTAATAGATATAAACAGTAGTAAATAATAACAATCAATAATACTAATAATAATCCGACTATTTAATGATATAATACTTATAGACAAAAACTAAAAACTGAAATAAAAATAAAGAAATGGTTATAAATTAAAACAATAAAATAAAAGAAAAATATGAAAGAACTTAAAATTAAAATTATTGATTTATCATATTTGATGATAATTTTCTAAAATGAATTATAATTTTTTTTAACTAGCATTTTTTTAAGATATGAATTATGTAAGATTTTTGTCAACATCCCAAATTATATATTATTAACATTGTTTTATTTTAATTTGATTTTTGTTTATTTGTGGACTTTTATTAATTAAATAATAATCAGTTAAAAAATTTGTTTTTAGCGTGGACGTTTCTTTTGCTCTTTTTTTTGTTTAAGTTGATTTTTTATTATTTTAAAATAAAATAAAAATTAAATCCTTTTTAATTTATTTGTTGATTTCATTAAATAAAATATTAAAAATATTAAGTTTAAAAAAATTTAAAAAAATTTAAAAAAAATATTTGAAGGATGGGACACTCCTTCCACCTTTTGTAAGATAACTTTGTTTTTATTTTATTTTATTTATTTTTTATTCATTTAATTTATTTTGTTAATAAATTTTAATTACTGATCAATAAATAAATCATAATATCTTTGAATTTGATTTTTGTATTCCTTTTAAAAAAATAATAACAAAATAATAATCAGACTTTTTAGAACCCTGACTGTCCCTTTTCCTTTTGTAGGATTTTCTTTTAAAAAGTAAAATATTATAGAAAAATAAGTTTTGTGTTACTTTAAGATAGAAACAGAATATTAGAAGAAAAAATCTATTATCTATCTATAAAAATCATAGTCCCTGGAAATTACCACAACACCACAGCTGAAAAAAATCTATTGTTGGTCTATTGTATTGGGGTAAAATGGGAAACTCCAAAATATCTTGCACCACATTGATTTGAATCTGATGTGGCACTCCCATAATTTTTCACCACATTTTCAATTTTTTTTTCTTCAAATAAATCCCACATATTATACTGTTTTATAAAATAAAGAACCAATTCAATTTATTGTGCAGGCAGCGTGAGAAACCCAACCATGGGGAATACCAATTCATTATTCCTTGTAATTCATTGTGCCTCTCTTCCTCTTCCCCATGCCAAACCATTATGCCTCTCTTAATCAGAATTCAAATTCAAATGGAACACCAAAAGTTTTTCACTCTTCCTTCAATCCTTCCCCAACAGAGATTGGGACGTTGGCGTCGATGTTGTGGAGATATCAAAAAGCAATAGCAGGTATCAAAAAGCATCAAAATTTCAAATTTTTAATGGTCTCTTTTTAATATATCCATCTATATGCTTTTGTTCTATATGATTAATCTGATGAAATTGAGAAATAAATATACTGTGTGTGCAGGCTTCAACTCTACATTGCGGCTTGGAAATGTACACTGCAGATACTTTCTGGT